TGATTCTCCTACCTCAGCCTCCCGAATAGCTGGGACTACAGGCACATGCCACCATGCCCAGCTAATTTTTTTGTATTTTTTTTTTTAGTAGAGATAGGGTTTCACCATGTTAGTCAGGCTGGTCTCAAACTCCTGACCTCAAATAATCCACCCGCCTTGGCATCCTAAAGTGCTGGGATTACAGGCGTGAGCCACCACGCCCAGCCTGACTCTCATTTTTAGTCCTTGGCCAGAGATCTCCAATCCTGGCCTGCAATCTTAGTACACATTCCTTGTTTGGGGTCTTGTTCTCCAAAGTGACTATATCATATCCCCTCTCTCCTCAAATCTACAGCCCTCCACTCCCAGCCCTGCACACTCAAGGGTGGCCTCACCTCCTAGTTCATTGAGAAAACCATTAGTTCAGTCTTCCCCCATCACCCCACCACCAAGTCTGCCTGCAAACCCGCACTGTACCCAGATTTTCTGGCTTCCCCCAGTTACTCTGAATAAACTGTCGCTGCTCCTATCAGAGGCACTGTGTAATGGATCCCCTTCCACTTTGTCTTCTCAACAACATTTCTCCTGCATTACCAGCCTATCCTTATCTACTTTGTCATTTCGATGGGCCTCCAAGCCTGCCTCAGTATCTCCTTTCTTACACAGAATCCCGCCTCGAGCCAATACCTTCTGCAGCTGTCACTCATTCCTTTTCTCCTTTCACTGCAAAACTTCTTGAAAAATCAGGTGTATCAGGGGTTCCCAGGACCACCCTCAGGTTTGATGATTCACTGGAAGGACTCACAGAACTCAGAAAAGCCGCTAAACTCATGGTTATGGTTTATTACATTGAAAGGATATAGATGCCAATTAACCAAGGAGAAAGGCATATAGGGTGGAATCCAGGACAGACCAGAAGCAGAATTCCAGTCGTTCTGTCCCAAAGTCCTACGGACAGCACTTCATTCTCTCAGCAATGATGTATGACACACACACGAGACTTGTCCATCAGGGAAGCTCGCCCCAGTCTTGGTGTCCAGGGTCTATACTGGGGGATGATTATGTAATGGAGGACCCATATGACTGATCTTAACTACTCAGTCTAAGGACCCCTCTCCAGAGGTCAGACTGATAC